ACACATCAAAGAAATTGCAGGGCGTCCTACTGGCAATAATAAGACTTTTCAAGGACTAGTATGTTTTTTAGAAAATACTTGATCTGTTACTAAATCACTAAGAAATCCACTGAGGAAATATGACTGTTAACACACTGCATATAATAAATATTTGGTCCAAGAACACAGTAATACAAGTTCTGCAATCTCAGCCTTGGTATTACTCCAGTATCTGGGGAAGACAATCAGAAAATCATAGAACTACTGCATAAAAACATTATCAAGTAAGTAATGGTACTTCACACCTAAAACAGAGACCACGTAAAAGATCAAGATACTGAACATGTAATTTAGGACCAAGAACCCGTTTTAATTCAAACTGTGGTAATGAGTTACGGCCTTCTCACAGCAACACTTATCAATCTAAATGTTTCCATCTGTAAACCGTTTGGATGCTTTATGTCTCACAAGGAACTTGGAGCATTCATTAGTTTGCTTTACTTTCTAAAACCCTACAATATTGAAAATTACTAGCACATTTGTTATGATAACTCGTTATGGGCTTAGTGAGACAATAAAACTGAAGTCACAATAACTTGACATATTGAATGATCAACATTCTCCATTCCTTTCAGGGCATTAATTGCCATCTCATGTATATAAATCTGTTAAGCACTGTGGAACTCAATAAAACTACATCTCCCTCTGCCATTGTCATTTGAGGCTAGATCTGAAAGTTACAGTTGTTTCATTCTGGACAGAACTTTTCTCAGCTTCCGCAGATAGTAACAGATAACCAAGCCAGGATCCTCCAGAGGGGTCTATCCATTACCTTTATTGTACGGCAAATGATTGAAAAAACATCGGCATGTTGCTGGATCCCTCCCACCAGGGTTACCTGCAACACCAGTTGTCACATTATTCTCCCATATTATTTGAAGAGTTTCCATTCCAGGAAGAGACACATAACATAACAACATGACCGCTATTTATATTTAAGAGTTTTTATCATTCTGACAGAGCAATACGAAGCATCTGCTAGACCTTGCAACTGTAGAAGAGGAAAGAAAACCACTATATAGGGTCTAATGCACCAAAATCCTTTAGGTGCCTGAGGAAAAAAAAAAGGAGTGGAAACTTTGAACCATGGGCTCCTGTCTGAAGGATAAAATGTTCAGCATGAATCTTCTTAAGGAATGCACATCAAAATGCAAATGTATTGCTGTAATAACACATGCATCAGTGGCAGATGCTCAGACCCATAAAATCACTGGTTGTTACACGCTGAAGATGGATTACTTGTTGTCTGAGGCAAAATGGAATGCACTAGATGACAATTTGTCCTCAATAAAAATATTTTATATATTCTACTTCCGAATGCAGTCACAAGTCAGACATTTTATTTGGAATTTATTGGATTCGCTTCCATATGTAAATGTGGAAATAAATAGGAGCATTTCTTTCAGTCTGCACTGTGCAGAATGAAAGTCTAGATGAGACATCTGGAAGCCAGACCCTAAGGGCCGCTTTAAATGCTAACTGAAACAACACCTGATGCTAGCCAAGTGGGGCACAGCCAACCACTTCTTCCTTACCTACCACGTATTTCCCCTTATATAGCGCTGAGCAGTTACAGACAAACCCCATACATATTCAGACTTTGATATAACACCCTTTGAACCTCAGCTTTTCTTCCTTTCTTGTTAGCCCCAGTTTCTGGTGCTTTTGGCTAGTAAAACAGGCCATGTATTTCAAATATAATAAAATCTGTAATCTCAGAAGGAATGCTGGAGAGAGGAAAGAGCTGGGGATTCTGCAGGTGGTATGAGGTTGAGATACTCAGGAACAAGGCATGTATATAATAAATATTTGAAATAAATGTGTGTGTAATGTGGAAGTTATTTCGACTTGCATAGGCATACATGGGTTGCAGAATTCAGCTTTCCATGGCACCTAATTTGGAACAGAATTTTGATTTTTTTTTTAACAGTGCAAATTTATGGAGTTATGCCAGTCTAAGCTTAAACTTGAGGAACTCTGCTTCCTTACACATAAAGAGTATAAATGGCCCTGATCTTCTGTTTAGAAATAGCAGCGCAATATTTTGCCAGCACTTAGGAGCCAGAGATATTTCACTAACACATGGGATCAGCTGGAGCCTGCATTAAGGTTTTCTACTCTAAATCAGGATGGGTCTCCTGCTACCTTTAAAATTTATGAATCTAAGGAAATGCACAACACGACCCATTTCCTCTACCTGCACTCCTTCCAAATGAAACTTTCAGCAATCTATCTGCCTACACCTTCTCCTCCATTTTAGCTTTAAGAGACTTTAAATATTTTTTAAAAAACAAAACAAAAAAGCAATGGAGCAAGGAAGAGGTGAAGCTACCAATCTTATCAGAGCAATGGCACACAGAGAGTGATCAAAATCTGGAATTCACTGCCAGAGGATGTAGTGATGGCCACAGGAATAAACAGCTTTAAAAGAGGATTAATTAGATTCAAGGAGGATAGGTCTGTCTATGGCTACTAGTCACAGTGACTGAGGGGAACTTCATTATTCAGAGGCACTAAACCTCTGAATCCCAGAGCCAGGAGACAACATCAGGGGAGGGTGTCAGCCTCTATGCCCTGTTGTTGGCCCTTCCAGAGAAACTGGTGGGCCACTCTGTGAGACAGGATGCTGGACTAGATGGACCACTGGTCTGATCCAGCAAGCCTCTTCTTATGTTCTAAGGCAGGGGTCTCAATCATGTGGCCTGCGGACCAAATCCGGCCAACGCAGGGCTCAAATCCAGCCCCCGAACAACTTCCTTCTCCTGCTTCCTTTCTAGGGCTGCTGCTACAACTGAACTGTAGCTTGCTTATTCCCCAGCTCCCTCAGTGACATCTTGCTTCCTGCTTCCTCTTTCCTGCCTCTTGCCTCCCTCCACCCCACCCCCGCTCACACACAGAGCTCTGTGGCAGCTTCCTGCTTCGTGCGGGAGAGACACAAAGACAAGCCACTCCCTCTCATTCACGCACACACACACACATACACACACACACACACAACTTCTGCTTCCTTCTCTGGGGCTGTTCCTCCTCTTTTGGGGAGGAAAACGGGGAGGAAAGAGAGAGAGAAAACAAAGTTGGAGTCCCAAGGCAGGTTTAAGACCAACAACATTTTATTCCAGGTATAAGCTTCTGTGTGCAAGCACGGTTCTTCTTCTTTGGAGGGAGGGAGGGTGGATAGATTCTTCTGACGAGCACAATGTACATTGAGGAAATTATTTTGGTTTATTCTGAAAAGTTGTATTAAAAAATATTGGATTTCTCTGTTCCTATCTGGATTTACTTTCCTTCAAAAAGATCCTGATTAGGAATTAGAACACTTGGATTGGTCCTTATACCTTGGAGAGTGGAGTGATTTCATATGCCAAATGATAATAGCACACATTGGTAATGAGATAGGAAAACTAGCTCTCAATTCAGTCCAACGCGATGCATTGTTTGGAGTTTCATTATCAATTGCAATTCAGCAGCCTCTCTTTCTAATCTCCCTTTGAAATTCCTTTGTAAGAGCACTGCTACTCTTAGGTCAGCAACTGAATGTTCTGGTTTCTAATGTCAGATTTATGTCCATTTATTCTTTGCATCCTCCTGGACTGAATCCTCCTGGATGGAATTGAGACCTAGGTTTTCTGGCTCATTACCAACGCTGGTATCTCCACACCTACTACCCCTCTGCATATCACACCTAATCCTATCAAGCCTGCTATTGTCATTCACCTGCTATTGCCTTTCAACATCTGAAATCATCTTTATAAAGTTTATATCTCTAGTAACTTGTATTACATTTTATGGCATGCATGGCCTGGCCCAACAAAGTGACACTTATATGTCAGATCCGTCCTTCGTAACAAATGAGTTCGACACCTCTGTTCTAAGGTGAAAGTACCATTCATTCTTCTATATAATCCCACGGCATTTAAAGCAGGGATGGCTAACATTTCTAAACACAACAGCAAGAGCGCAAAATGTACAGATGGCACAGAACACCTTGCTTTTTCCCAGGCCTGCAACATTCCCCATCACCGCAGTTTTTTCATCCTTTCTTAAGCCAACCTTTTTCACCATCCTGTGCCTTCCCCTCTACAGTCCAATCATTAGCCATAGTCAACAATACCCACTGTCAACCAGAATCAGATACCCAGGGTCCCAACAGTTAAAGGTGCTGAAGATGAAACAGCAACTAAAGCTACTACCACATCTATTCTAACCAGCAAAATAGCTGAGAAGGAGGGGAGGCCAAAATTCTGGCCTAAATAAATTACTCAACAGCCATATAAAGGAACCGAATGGGGCTATTACGCTATAATCTGGCCCATCATGATTTAAAGGAAGCTGCCCAGTTACTCGCAGCCTACTCAGGGAGAATGACAACCCAGTTGCTAGGTAGACAGGTAAAAGGTTTTGTAGGCCGATGCTTTTGTTGCACTTATCTGCATAGCAGGCCCATCCTGCACACTCACCCTTTTGTGGAGCATTTCTGGGTCAAAATTAATACTTTAATAATATGATACCTGCCTTGGGTCCTGGGGTGCTCAGGAGAAGGGTGAGGTATAAATATTTTAAATCAAATAAATAAACACATAATTTGTTAAGAATCTTAAAACCAATAAACCCTGTTAAGCCCTGGAGTGGCTTCACAGAGAGAAAAGATACAAATAGGTATCTGCTTAGTATAATAGGTACTGCTTGGTGTAAACATTAACAATATGAGCTTGTCATCTTATATACACAGAAACCATATTATGAAATTAGGATATGGCCCCTTACTGTGTCCCCCATATAAAGTTTGATATTGACAGAGGATGGTCCTAGCAACCAATATCTGTAATGAAGCTCCAGCTTTGCCTCAGGCCATCCAATGACTACTTGCCACTGGACCATGAGAAGAGCAGAACTGCTTTTAAACAATGAGGGTAGAAACCACACTAAAGGAATGAGAGTACACTACACAAATGGCTACTTACGTTTGGTACACCTTTGAGAGCCGGGAGCTTTGCTCCAGCCATGACAGCACTGACCTCCACAGACATTCACCCTGCAGCAACAATGTAAATAAAAAAAAGAAGAAAGAAAGAAAAAGTCCACCACAGTTCCTCACAAAGCAGTGATTCCCCAACCGGATGCAGTGTTCTCTACACCCAACTGCCAGGCATTTTAATAAAGCACTCTTTTTTTCATTGGCATTTTAATAAAGCACTCTTTTTTTTTCATTGGGATGAGGCTGTTGCAAAAGACCTTGTTTCTCACCTCAAAGCAAAGAGGGTGGTGGCAGAGGAATGGGCGGAAAAGGCGGGAAAGAAGTAGAGCAGACTAAAGGACAAGAGACTCAGCAGATGTGTGCTAGTTGTAATGAATGCTAGGAGTTGGCAGGAGAGAAAAGTTTAAAGCCTGAGGGAAGGGAATTATTAACCTTCTAAATAATAGACATTCATTGTTCTCTAAGCACTCCTGCCTCAAGCTGTCAGTAGGAAATGGGTCTTCCCTGGCCTGCCAAGGTGTTTTTTTTAGCTGGGTTTACCTCATTTCCATTGTATGTACCCTGAAGGCACTTCCTTCATGACTATTTTATGTATTCAGAAAATTTATATGCCACCTCTACAGAAATGTGCTTGAGGCAGTTCACAAAGTAAAAACATTGTACTAAAAGAAAAATAACCACCATAAAATTACTAATATTAAAACAAGCCAATTGCCAGCCAATTGTTAGTAAAACAATCCTCAGGTTAGAAGCAGATAGTAAAAAGTTAAAAATGATAGAACCATTCAGTTAAAAACTTTGGTAAAATCAAACATTTTGGCTCGGCACCTAAAGGACAATAAAGTAGGCACCAAGCAAGCTTCAAGTGGAAGGATAACCTAAAGGCAAGGTGCCACCACTGAAAAAGCTCTGTCTTTGGTTGCCATCTATGCCTCACTTTTGTGGCTAGATAGAGCAAAAGGAGACAGTGATTCAGGTATCCTGGCCCAAGTTATTTAGGTCTTTGAAGGTAAGAACAAGTGAAGACTTCTTTGTTTCATTTTGCTTTCCCTTACTGATCCTCCTTCCTGCTTACATTTGAACAGCTTACAGTAGATTTCTAATGTCTTTTTGAGTGTTCACCACCAGGAGGGCCCAAACTGAGGGGAAAGGTAGAATAAAATTTTTATTTAAAAAAATGTTTTTTAATTATAATTATAAGAATAACCACTTTCAGTCTTTAGGAAGCAGCTAAAGATGGTTTGATTCAGGACAGGCTTTATTTTTTTTCTATTTATTGGCAAGGGTAAATTGTGATATTAATTTGTGGGTTTTTATGTATTTAGTGCATTTTTATGGTTTTTGTTCTGTACTGTAAGCCACCTGAGTCCTCGAGGGTAGAAAGGCAGTGTGTGTGTGTGTGTGTGTGTGCGTGTGTGTATTTAAATAAACCACTGGCAGTACTTTGAGTTGTGTCTGGAAACAAATATGCTGATCGTGCACAACTGGTGATCTGATCGCTGTAAAGCATGAAAGAGAGTTCAGATATTCAAAATTAATGAGGAATTTCACATTACCCTTTTTAACCTGTTTTGAAGCCGGTTTTGATCCATCGTGGAGTAAACCGGTATAGGGCTGCCATTTCACACATGGCTTTCCCCTTCCGGTAAAGAGTTGGAGCTGAAGCGGTTTGCCATTTCAGACTGCACTGCTTTTTCCCCACCGTTTTTCGCCCACGTGGGCGATCTCCGGCTTTTTTTTTTAACGTTCACTTTAGAGCGCTATAGTGCTATAACACAACACTCCAGGCATTCCAATGAGGTTGATATAATGCTGTTGCATTATAGTGTTATACCGTTATAGCGCTATAGCACTATAAAGCGAACGTTCCCAAAAAAAAGCTGGAGATCGCCCACGCGGGCAAAAAATGGCAGGAAAAAGCACATCGGAACCGGAGAGGAAACTGAAGACTACCTGGAAGTGGTTGACAGGTAAAATGCTTCAGCCCCATTTCCTAAATGGGACAGTAGGGTTTGTGTGTGAAATTACAAATATATTCCAGTAGGGAACCAGTTCTAAAACGGTTCTGTCTGAAATGACAGACCAGAAACTGTTTGGGAACCGTTCCTCTTCCGGATTATATCGTCTGTCTGAAATTCCTCAATGTCTCTGCTGCTTACATTCTCATCACTATCCCAAAGACTAGGGCCTGATCCCAACCTTATTCAGCTAAACCCCTTAGCTAAAACAGGACTGTTGGGGATTGATGCAGTTCCAGCCGGGGGGAAAGCCACGTGTCGGCGCAATCACACGGAACAATTCCGTCGGCAGCCCATGGTAAACCATTTGCTAGTACATTTGTTGAGATACTTTTTAACTGTGCAGCTTTGGCGGCACGCCACAGGTTGGCCATGGGTGCGCTACATTTGCCAGATGTTGCGGTGTGATCGCACCCTGAAAATCTGCCCAGCATTCGTGGCTCTCCCACGGCAAATTCGGCGTGTGAACGGGGCCAAAGGATAGTAAAGCCAGTTTGGTGTAGTGGTTAAGTGCACAGAATCTAATCTGGGACAACCAGGTTTGATTCCCCACTCCTCCACTTGCACCTGCTGGATGACCTTGGGCAAGCCATAGTTCTGTATGTTGTGGGGAGGGGAAGGAGTTTGTAAGCCGCTCTGAGACTCCTTTGGGTAGTGAAGGGTGGGTATAAATCCAATCTCCTGTTCTTCTAAATTGTCAATATTTAGCTTACTATAGTTTTACCACTGTGAGAAAATACATCTGAACAAAAATGTCATGGGTGATTAGGGAGCCATTCTCATGCTCATTTTTGTTCAACAGTTCTAAACTTTTTTGCTTATAGCCTATTCTCATGTATCTGCAGCAGCCTCAGCAGCTCCACCAAGTTAAGTTTCAACTTTACCCATCTCTAAAAATATCTCATGTGAACACCTGCAGGGTTTATTACCTGCAATTTATTACTGAATTTGAGACTTTGTGAAGATATCATAATCTGAAGACATGAAGTTACATGGGCCTCTAACAAGGCATATTACTACACAGGTAATGCAGAAATATGTCTCAACTAACAGTTGTTTGGTGGTTTGTTTGTTTTTTAAGGTAGGGAAATGGCAGAAACAAGTGCATGAAAATGTCAAACCATAGTATTATTTTAATGCCAAGGCTGTCTTAGAACATATAAGTTGTAATAAAGTGGGCCTCTGACCATGCCCAGAGTGCCTCCATCAGCTCATTAGGCATTAATGGTGAAGAATCTCAGTGCAGAGAATATGAATTTCACACATATTTGAGGCTAATGCTACAACCATCAGTTGTTCAGTGAACACCTTTTAATTGACTAAAAGGTATTTCTTATTAATTGGGCAGTAACCTTTTTAAAACTATGGAATTATGTTTAATACAAGAACTTATAAAAACCATGATGGAAAGCATCAACTTAGAAGAGTCTCTCACACATATAGGGAGATCTTCTAAAATGTGCCTGAATGTGCCTAACATCATCCCTAAACAAGATTAGTAGAATTTCTACATTCAAAACCATTGTTTTGTGCACGTTTAATCAGTTGAACTGAAAGTTTGGTTTTGGTTTCCATTACTCCACAAATATCTCTTTGACTGCTGATTCACCCATTTGAGTGTATTGCTGATTTTACTGTTTGATCTATATTACACACATTTTCTCATGATCAGTCAAATACCACAACAATCATTTCAAGAGATATGTCACTCTTTTGTGGTACTTTTACCCAGCATAGGTACAAAAAGAAGCCTCCTTTCTGCATTGACTATTACCTCTTCAGGAATTACAATCAACCCAGAACGGCCTCACATTGTGCTAATCTTTGTGCACCCTTTCACAGAACTATAACTCTGGAACAAATCTGAAGGTAAATCAAGATTTTGAAGAGTTCCCCCACCACCACCCCTTGCCAGGTCCTACTTCAATAAATTCAAACCCACCAGAACAACGGGGCAGCCTGAGAACTTTGCAAGCCACTTTAAGCACCCTAGCACCAATCCAAGACCGCCAAGGCCGTCCCGCTTCCCGTCCCGCTCCCTCCCTCTCAGCCAGGTATAGACTGCAAGCACGCCAGGCAGATGGATTTGTCCCTAGACTATCCTCAGTGCTCCCTATCCCCTTCAATGGAGCAAGATACTAGCACAAAACTTCTACCCGAGCCGACTGGCTTTTTTTATTCTTCTAACTACAGCGGGCGCACACTCTAAAAAGTAGAGAGGCTCTATGAGAAACCCTGGGCATTGCATTCCTTTAAATTCCCTTTCCTGATTCGGCCACCACGATGCAGGACCAAAGCCATTTGGAGCTCCCTCGACTGGAGAATGCTATGTGGCCACGCGGGGAAGGGCTGGCATCACCTTACCCCTGCAGCTGCTGCAGATGGGGTTTGGGGTGAACCTGCCCACTGACGGTGCTGCTGTTGCTCTCGCGCGGCTGGAGCTTGAAGCGCGAGCCGGGTTTGCCCACTTTGCTGAACGAGTGGCTGGCAGGCTTGTGCTGGAGCTGTACGGTGGGGCCCAAGCGGAGCTGCATGCTCGGGCTGCTCGTTTTGCTCATCCTGCGAGTTCGCTCCAAGGTGCTGCCGCCGCCGCCTCGGGTGCTGTAACGGGTGTTCAGCTCCACATTGAACGTGGTGCGCGGCTGCTGCCCTCCGCTCTGCAAGCGGCTGCTGGTGGTGCCCGACTGATTGGGGCGCAGCACGTAGGTGATCGTCCTCAGCCTTCCTTTCTCTGGGACCCCGAACGCTGGGGCCAAAAATATGCACGCACACAGAAGAAACCCCCACTTGATCCAAGCCATTTCCAAAGCCGACAGGATCCTTACAGCCAGACAAACTCCACAAACCCTCGATGCAAACAAAAGGGGGAAACAGTTCCTGGTTTTGCAAAGTGTTGGTGTAATTCCTTTTGCTTTACGCGGCTTCCTGGAATGCTGCTCCTTCTTTTCTAGGCAAAAAAGTGCATTAGATCCTCTTTTGTCATCCGCCGCCTTCCAGAGTTCCCTTCCACCATGTGAGGCGAGTTCAGCAAAAAAAGTTGTTGCGCTGAGGAGCAAAACACTGTTAGAGCAGAGGAAGCTAAGGGGGGAATCTCAACCCCAACCAGCAGCTAAGAGAGGTGCCGAGGAGGTGGGGGGAAGATATTTACGCTGCCCGAGATGCTACTGGCCTACAAGCATGTGTTAGGAATAACTTTTTAAACCAGTTCAGGCTGAAAAAGTCTATTAAAAAAAGTTTCTACGGGTGTGTGGCTTCTCTTGAGTGTCAGGTCTGCACAGCCAATCGTAAGCAGGCATGACGTCAAGGAGCCGGTCCTAATTGGGAAAAGTATAGCGTGGGGTTGGACCGTCCCCACCGCAATCCAGTTTCAAATAGAGAATTGTTGTAGGTTTTCGGAGGCGGTCGCTTCTGATCTCATGACAAAAAGGCTAAAAACTTCAGTGGAACTGCTGAAGGGTCTTTTCAGTATTTGCCTTTTAAAACCTGTAGGAAGATCGAAAGTTGTTTGCCTCGCCTGTAATACCATGGTAGAAAATGAATATTAATGGTTTATTTAAAAATAGCCTGTTAAAGTGCTTCAGGTAGGGCTGCCAACTCTGGGTTTGAAAATACCTGGACATCTGAGGCCATCCAGTCTACTTTCCAAAATCACCCATTCTCTCCAGAAGAAGTAGGAAAAGTATTTTAAATAAACAAATAATAAATGAGCAATTGATGTAGTCTGGAGATGAGTTGTAATTCCAGGAGATCTCCATCCCCTACCTGGAGGTTGGCAACCCTAGCTTGTGCACTGTTGCCAAGGATGGTAGCATAGCTCACATTATTATTTGCATCCCGTTACAAGTGGAAACTAACAGCCCAGTCCTAGCCAGAGTTACACCTGAAGCCCCCTGTCTTCAAGTGAGTTAGAAGGATGCAACTCTGCTTAAGATGGTGGCGGGGCAGGCCACCACCCATGACTTGGCAGTCAGCTGTGAAAGTGTTAGCATTTAGACATTGCATACAAAATTAATCAGTATAGCAAAAGGCTGTAACATCCACTGCCTGACCCCAACATCCATTTTCAAACTAAAGTTTGTATTCTAAATTAACCTGATCACAACTGTAGCCCAACACAGTAAGTACACTGTACTCCTTACAAGAACATCTTCCTTGTTCTGCTGCCTAGGGGTGGCACATTTTGGAAAATGTCAGCGTGGGGGGAAAAATCCTGTCAGGGCTTCTCCCCAAGTATCCTGGGAAACATAATGTCACAAGGATGCTCAGAATTCTGTGTTAGAGACCTCTAGTCCCACTCATAACTCTACAGTTCCTAAAGAGAAGGAATGGTGATTAAGCCAGTGTAAATTTACTTTTTATTGTATGCACATGTGCGTGTGGGAAGTGCCTCAAGTAGCAGAGGTAGTTTGCCATTGCCTTCCACTTCTTTGGTGCCTTTGGTGACCCTACTTAGCTTCCGTGATCTGACAACAGGCTATACCATGCTGCCTTCCATCCTATGGTATGCACAAATGCTTGAAAAATTGTCTACCGCAGTGTGAATGACCATCCCCTTAGACTGCAATCCTGAGAAAATGTGAATGTACCAGCCAATAAAATCTATGTTACTTATGTACAGACATGTATATGATTGTTCTATACATCCTCAGTAGAACTTGCAACATAACTCTTTGCATGTTTATTCAAAAGTAAACCTAATTTTCATATGTACTTATTCCCTTTTATGTAGAATAATAGACTTACTCTCAGAATCAAGATATAAACATGAATGACATTCTGATCATGTAGTGCATTTATTGGAAAGAGTAATGAGGAAGTGCAAGGTCCTTCTAAACTTACTTACATGCCTAAATTAGGTCAGGAAGCAGGGCCAATTAGCCTTCATCTGGCCCCATAACCCAACCCAATACAGGCCACTGTAGCATGTTAACCTCCTTACATAAAGAATCACTGCTCAACTGATTAGTCATTTTATTGCACTTATTATTGTTACTTCGTCTTTTTTGAACATATGGAGTCTTCCTTCATGGGCCCTGTTGACCCTGCCCTCTCTGTTCTCTTCAGCTGTAATCTATTGGCTCTAGACCAATGATAAGAATTCATATTGGCAGCTGAAACCATAAACATTCTTTAAAAAGTTGGGGCTGAATGTTATTTTGTCATCCAAAGGAGCCTCAGTTTATAACAAATAGAGACAGCTTGAGAACTTTTAATCTAAACTTGTTTCATTTTTCCCTGCACAGGGTTTTTCTAGGGATAGTGAAAACTGATAATCAACAGCAGCAGAATGTCTCCCCAATAGCACCAACATTCCTGCAAAGAGCCAGCAGCCTGAACAAGATCAATATGTTTCCAAGGACTTTGTTGATAGAGAAGAGTTCTGGAGTTGCTCTATTTAAAACATCTATTTATATTTGAGCAACGTTTTAAATAGATGAGCAGTAGAAGGCACTTAAGTGCCATATCCTTATTTTTGTCAGCAGTCCCTGTCAGTTTGCAAGGCTTCCATTTTGCATAGATAATAGAGTAACTGTAGTCTGGTAAATCTTTGGAGCAGCAGAAAGCCATATGTACTGCCCTAAAAGCTAGCTCTTGTGAGGCCAGACTCCAGCAAACCTTAAACCAAGATGGAAATTCAGGAGCTGCAAGTTTCCTGTGGATTGTATTTGAATAAGTCTTTAAAACCTTTGCCTAGTTTATATTACTTTTTGTGGCCAGGGAGGTGGTGGAATCAGTGGTTGCTGTTATAGGTTGATGAGTAGAAGAGACAAAACACCACTCTTTGGAAGATGGCAGCAGAGGCAAGATGAATATATCTTACTCAGCACCATGTAGCAGTTCCTGCCAGAGAAACACCCCTTTGAGCTCTGCCATCTAATTCCACTGAAATAGTAAACCTGCCTCCAAGTTGTAAATGCAGGGTGATACAGCTGAAGGCTCCTTCATACCCCCCCCCCGACAGCAGTGAATCATATAAACCCTCATTTGCTGTGGCACCAATTAGACACAAGTTTTCCATCTGTATTTATTTATTAAAATATTTATGTCCCCTACAAGGGGATCCAGGCAGCTCCATCAGTCAAAAAAACGATATCTAAAATAAATAATCCATCAAGGGGAATAAAACCCCACAAACAAAATAATCTTATACCTTTTCATAAGCCCATTGTCACAGCGAGGAAGAATAATGTAGCATTACAAACAAGTGCTCTTATCACATTTAAAAAGTTGTTGAATATGTGACATAAGCCCTCGCTTCCTTGCTGCCTTACTTGGAAGTATGTGCCATTGAACTAGGACATTTTCTGGCAGAATTCTCATGCCTTTAACAGCTAGGTAACATTCAGAAATTCTCCAGGCATGTTTTTTTCCAATGCCAGCTTGGATGTATGCTACAAATCCAGCCCAACTGAATTTTTTGTCATACTAGGAATCTTTGTTGTTAGGTTCAAATGTTATGACATCTGGTAATCTGTTTACTGATTTACTGGAAAAGTTGTTTTTTAAAAAATATATATCATACTTGTAATCCCAGGGGAAAAGGACTATAAAGGAAAATAAAATAATTACAATAATAATTTGCCTTTTAAAAAAAAATTATTGCATTTTTATTAAAACTACGAACTATAACAGAAATAAGGGAGGGGACTACATTTAAGGGGATAAAGGGAAAGATACCCACTACTGACTAAAACCCAAGAGAGGAGATCTTCTAACCAGCTTGAATACACATCTAGTCTTAATCATATTAATCTCATTACAAACTGGGTCACATAGTCTGTTAACTTTTCCCACATCTTAAATTTAACTGATATCAGGAAAAACCCCAAAGCATCTCAATTCAAAATTTTTCAAAGGCACTATTCAGAGTCCTTCAGCCTTCACTTCTTCTTGTACAGTCTCTTCCGCAATTTATAAGGACTTTTAGGAGCTGCTTCCCCTTTCTCAGAGAGTCCTCTCCGGAAGAACCCAAATCCAGCTCGCCACTGGACTTGCTGTCCCCTTCTTTTTCTTTCTCCTCGGGCCCTCCCAGCTGGACTCTTAAGAATTCTCTCGCTTTCAGAACAGAGTCAATCTTTTCTTTTTTATCCTTAATTTTGAAGGTGAGGCCTTCTGGAATTAGCCATCTATATCCAATTGAATTTGTTTGAAGAAAAAGAACAAGGTCTTTATATTTCTTTCTCCGCTGTCTTATTTCAAATGGAATATCCTTCAGTACTCTGATAACACTCTCCCCAGCTCTCAGGGGTGCTCCAGATACTGCTTTCAGGATTGCATCCCTTACATGCCTCTTTGAGAATCTTACGACAATTTCCCCAGGCAGATTATTTTTCTTTATGTATCCTGAATATGACCTATAGGCCACATCCATTTCGCTTAGCAAAAATTCCGCCTTCATCTCTGTCACTGGGGCCAGTATTTCACTCATCACTTCCTTCAGATTCTCTCCCTTAGTCTCTGGTATGTTCTGAAAGTGAAGGATCATATTAGCCTTTTCCATTTGTAATTGTAGCAACTGCTCTTCTGTAGAAACTTGCTTCTTTTCCAGTTTTTGTACTTTCGTCTTCACCTTTTGGGTAGTGGCGTCCACTTCTTTCACCTTCTCATCTGTTTGATTTATCATTTTCAAAGTCTCGCTTATCTGATTTTGTTGAGTGGTAATACACTGGGTCATTGATGTCATCTGCTCTTTGAGATTATTCATTTGGTCCAGCAGGTGGCGCATGGAGTCTGCCAAAGTCTTTGCTAGCTCGTTGACTCCTTCCGGTTTTGGGCTCTCAGTTACTTTCGATTTCAAATGCTTCTCTTTCTCCATCCTCTTCCCCGCCATCTTTTTCACTTTGTTTACTTTCACAAACTTTTTGAAAGTCTCTAAATATGTGCTTTAATGCTTGCACTCGCCTTGGTAAGTAATCCTTAGCAATTTTACCCGTTTATGCTTCCGCTCCCCCCCTCAATCGATCTAAAGTCTATGCGTTC